GTCTCCAAGGGCTCGTTTTTCTTTTCTTTGTTAGACACAACCGTAAAGGGACACTAAATGAGAAACAATTCATCGGTTTTTGATTGACAAAAACAACGTACTACGAAAATTTTAATGTCGGTAATTTACCCATAATCTGTTTATTTTAAAAAAAATTAAGGTCGAATTTGATTAACCAATTTCGCGACGAAATCCCCACGCGCGACTACACGGATTTCGAAGTGCACTTTTCTTATTGCCAGTGGCGACGCTGGCTCGACATAAAGTCCTGAAACTTGACGTAAAGTCTTGCTTTATACCTACGGCGTCTTCAGAGGATAATGTACTTCTTTTTACTGATTAAAAACAACGTAGAATGCAGCAGACGCTGTCAAATTTTATGACGTCACGGCATTCGGTACGGAAACTTCAATGTGGGCGTCGCCAAAAGTGTTTGATTTTTGCCCGTTTTCCTTCTTATCAAGCGTATCGTTGGCAAGTGCGGTGATATTTTGTCACAGAGTAAGGAACTAATGTAAGAACAAATTGTTTTTTTTTTTTTACTTTAGTGTCCCTTCAATGAAAACCGGCAGTCAATAAAGCCAATAAAGCTTTAGAGTACGTTATTTGTAGTCTTTTTAAGTGCACTGATTGTGACACAAATGTGCGGAAATTAAATTGACGCGAAAAGATTGATTGATATGTGGAGTTTAACGTCCCAAAAATTACCATACGATTATGAGAGACGCCGTAATGGAGGGCTCCGAAAATTTCGACCACCTGGAGTTCCTTAACATGCACCCAAATCTGAGCACACGGGCCTACAACATTTCCGCCTCCATCGGAAATGCAGCCGCCGCAGCCGGGATTCAATCCCACGACTTGCGGGTCAGCAGCCGAATACCTTAGCCACTAAACCACCGTGGCGGGGCACACGAAAACAGAAGTTGCGTTGGTAGGGACCAAATCTATACAGCGTGCGAATAGCGCATATGACGCTCTTTACCAATTGAACTGCAGCGATCGACCTCCAGCACAGTTTAATAGGGTATATCTGAGCATTTAATCCTATGAGTACAAGTCATGGTGATCGGGAGTGTGGAACACTCTACTTTGTTGCACGTTCTTTCTTGGGTTCTATGCAGTAGTTGGGTAGTGATTTCCCGGTTTGAATTATTATATGGAGTGGTGAATATGCTGGCTCTTCTATTGGTTCGTGATGTGCTTAGCCGGGTGTTCTCGGCACCGCTAAAGCGTGACTGAAATTTGCGCCAGTGTTTCGGTGTGCCCCAAAAGTGTGCAACACCGTGTACCTTAAAGGTATACCTGGCTTGACATTAGTGCAATGTCTGTCAAGGTTAAATGAAGGAAAGAAAAATCAGCTGCGTAGCAAGAATGTGTACGCGGGTGGAGTGTGAGCGTACGTGTGTGCAATAACGGCGATGACGTCACTTATACGAGAGCTAGATGACACATCGTTTGGAAACAAACATATCTATAAGAGGATACGAGAGGCGAAAAGAAGCAAGGTAGCTGCGTGCTCAGCGAAAGCTTGTTTTTTGAGTTACACGATGTGGTGGAATGTCCCAACTCTATGGCGCTTATTAAGCACATGTGGTCATACATTTCTATTAAGGGTTGTTTTTAAGGACTCATTGTATTAAAGACATTATGATGTGATGTGAGAGCCCTAATAAAAAAACACGCTTGACATCAGAATTTTTCACTCAGTACTCCTAAACCAAACTTCCGTGGCGTATGGTTATACTGCGTGAACATTAACGGGTTATGTAGCACGACGGTTATAAAGTGGTACTGGCGCAAAAAACTCCACGAAAAGAAATGAAGAAAAACAATGTGCATTTAAGCCGAATGCTATGATTCAAGCATGAACAGACTAGCCCGACGTCACATTGTGCTGAATTAGCGTGGTCTTGTCTTTTGGCGAAATGGCCACTTGTCTCGTATATATGTAATGAGCGGTGAGCAGGCTGTTTTTCTACTTTTAAAGGGAATAAAAGAAGAATTTATTCGCACGTTAGAGAAGGTATTCCCTTGACGTATAAAAGCAGGATATCTTGTAAGAGCTGCTCCCCCAGCCTTTGTTTTCTGGCCAATAATTAATATGTGGTTGATCTTAAATATTTTCTGGCGGCAATAGGTTGTCTTACCAACTACATGTTCTTATCCTTGCTACAATATTTTCTTCTTCTCCGGCTATAACTGTAATAAACCTTCGCTACGCCGTGTTTACCTCGCCAGAACGTTTTCCACCCTCCGAACGCGCGACATCTCGCTTCAGAACAGCCGTTGGCTTCATTACCGGCTCGCCTCCACAATGCCTTCCTGTTGTGGCTGCCTTAACCGCCTACGCCTCGGACGGCCGCATTCGCGCTCGCGCAATGCGTCGATCGCGAGAGCGATGCGGTCATCTCCCAACATTTCTCTTCGTATGCCACCGCAAAACCGGCCCGGCTTGTTTCGCGTGCCAATCTAAATTTGTAGGCGCACCAGCGCGCCGTTACTCGGGACGCTCCAGGGGTGAGGCGTTCAGTGCCGCGCCCTGCACCGGATGAGCGTGAAAGATTGACGTGGACTTGTGTACGCAGGCTCGTCGAAGGAGGTGTGGCGCTTACGTGCGCTTTCGCCCATCACACACAGACCGTCACGTATGCTCTGCCAACGCATTGACTCTGCATATTTGACCGCGCCGCTCTTTACGTTATGTCAAGAGACGAGAGTCCCCTTCACAAAACCGCGCCTCTATGACGTCAGAGAAGCCGCGCTGAATATAGAGAGAAGCTCAGCTCTTTCGGATTTGTTTGCACGCGCGGAAGTGGCTGCGGGAGTAACGGAGGCGGCACTTCGGAAGGGTAAAGTGCTTTCAAATGATTAGCGGTTAGTTCCGCTGCTGTGGTTATGGGGCTTAACTGCCGACCCGAAATGTCACGAGATCGAATGCGGGCCGCGGCGGTCGCATCTTGGTGGAGGCGAAATGACGGAGAGGCCCATGTGCTCAGATTCGGGTGCACGTTGAAGAAAGGAGGTTGGAATTTCCGGAGCCCTCCACAGCGGTGTCTGTCATATGCATATCGGGGTTTCGAAGTGTAAAAACCAGTTAATATAATTCACAATTAGTTATCGTGAAACTGCACGCCTAATTCCTGCTTATTTCTCAGGCACTCATCACGGGCGTAATACGTATGGCTGGAGCATTTTTCTGAACTATGAACTGCGTCACTCCGCAGAAAAATAATAAACGAAATCGGTAGGCTATACGCGCTAAAATCATATACATTATTTTACGAGGCGCACGTTATTGTCCGACCCCGATCAGTTTTGACCAGGTGAGATTATTTAGTGTAAATTTGCATAGATGTAAACGACTGCTTCTGTATTTCGTTCATATCGATATGGGGCTGCCGCGAACGGTATCAAATGCGCGACTTCGACGTAAAGGATACTGTGATACTGCGGCGGTTTGCAGTATACCAATTTACGCAAAATCAGCTCGTTAGAATCGGTAGTAGCTCGGTGGTCTCGAAGTACTAGTTCAAAGGATTGTGTAATATTTTTTGAACACACTTATCTTTCAGAACGCGGATCCTATAATATGCATTATACTGCTCCTTGTGCAATTCAAACCATTAATACAATATGGCTTTTGCATGTCTGGAAATACGCATTACAACCTACGCCTTGATTCCTTCGCGCCTAAACGCGCGGAACCAAAGAGATTCGAATGGTTTGCATGTGGTCTATAGTTAGTGGTCATGCATGTTGATTGGTTACAGCAAACATTAGACGCAATGATGACGGATAAAAACATGAAGGCGCGGCTCAGTAATAACTGCTAATGTTTGACCACCAGTTTTTAACTGTAGATAGCCACACCTATATATTGTGCAGATGGTTTCAATAGGCAATAGACGCTAGTTATTAACAGTGTTTTCAACATCCTATCTTCGTGTGGGCACCTAAGTTTCATTGCAGCCACTCAAAATGTTATGAGGCACAAGCTGATGCCCTGGCTTCGTCACGAATGCCACTCCAGCTTTTACCTTCTGTGTGGTTTACTCTGTAAAAAGGCATAACGTTTAGAGTCAATTCTTAGCCTCTTTTTGCAGTTTGCAACTAAGTATCCCTCAGTAATTTATCTCAACGCCGCACCGAAAGGACTTTCAATTAGAAAGAATATCGAAGAATTATTTAACTGATATGTTCATTGATTGATTGATTTGTGGAGTTTTACGTTTCAAAACCAGCATATGATTATGAGAGACTTCGTAGTGAAGGGCTCCGGAAGTTTCGACCCCCTGAAGTTCTTTAGCGTGCACCGAAATGTGAGCACACGGGCCTACAGCATTTTCGCCTCCATCAAAAATGCAGCCGCCGCAGCCGGGATTCAATCCCGCGACCTGCGGGTCAGCAGCCGAGTACCTTATGACCGCTAGACCACCGCAGCGGGGCAACTGATATGTTCATGACTCTCTGTAGTATATCAGATGTATATTTATTGCGTGTTACCCCCATCCACCCCCTCCTCTTTTTTTTTTTCTTTTTGCGTCCTGCAGTCTCTGCAGGGTCTCGAAGCATGATAGAAATACCTATTTACCAGTGTCTTACAAGACTGGTATTGTGATTTTTCCTTCACACTGTGTAACAAGAAAATGTTTAGTTTCGCTATTGTAGATATCACCTGCGTCTTTAACTAGGCTAGTACATGCGAAATATGGATCATTTGTGAGCATCGCTAGTGGCAGCGCAATAACTTCTGGTGGAGTGCCACACAATTGCGGTATTTCCAAAATGAGAAGAAGCTATATCGGTTATATAATTTCTGTATCGCCGATCAGTAAGGGTAAATGAACATGGCATCTGTGATTCCAGACGTCATATACGAGCAGATAAGGTGCATTAGGTCGGCGTTCTCGAACAATTGCAGTATGAACTTCGACGACAAAATTAAGAGAAGTTAAATATTGACCCTTGAACAGGCGTTAACGTGTCTCTCATTGCAGGTGATCCGACTGCCGCAACTTCTCATCGCAGCAGCGCTGCTATCGACTGGATTCTCAGAGACTGTAACACAGGTAAGTCCACGTTGCAGCGTTGGTTGCCTAAGCCTTATTGTGTGCAAGTGCTGATTCCTGAAGAAAAACTCAATTGCGATAGCGGGCTTCATGATACAGCTCATCAGAACTCGTCGGTACCACTTTCTTTCGCCGATTTGGCGTGACTCAGAATGTAGCGTGACGCTCAAAACATGAATAAAAATGAAGAGAGAGGGTGAGAGGAAGAGATATAATTGTAATCAATGACAGGGCTTTACGTCCCAAAACAAAGATGTAATTATGAGGGACGCCGTAGTGAATGGCTCCGAAAGTTCGACCATCTGAAGTTCTTTAACGTGCACAGACATGGCACAGTACACAGGCCTCAGGAATTTCAACTACACCAAAATGCCACCGCAGCAGACGAAATCGAACCCGCGACCTTCAGCTCAGAAGAGAGAAAGAGAACAGAAAATGCAGAGCAAGGAGTTAAAGTAGATTGGGGTTTCTGGTGTTTAACCTTGCATTGTAGTGGATGAATGTGAGCTAGAATGTACAGGGCTGGTCAAAAGTTCCCAGGCCCCTATCCCATGTATTCCTATGAAAGCGAGGCCTGGCAACTTTTGATAGCCCTGTACAAAGAGAGAGAAGGAGACTAGAGACAAAGACGAGAAAACATTCAAGGACAGCTGTTGCCATTGTATAAGCGTTCCCAGAAGCGGGCGCATCGTAAAATGCGCAGTAAATCTCGCGTGTCCTCGATGGGACGAATGTGGCTAATATGAACGTATTCATAAAGGCATGCGGTACTGCGAACGCTGGAAATTCTGGCAAGGACCATGACATATTGCCGCCTTATCGACGCGGTGCTCGGAGGCCACAGTGTCGGCCTCACCCACGCACACGAGAGATGAAAGACGGAAAGTGTCAGAGTAGCGAATACCATTATTTCACATTGACTTTGTGTGCAGCGTACACAGAGCACAAAGAAAACGTTAGCGAATTAATGTCTTTTGTTTTCGATGTGTTTGGCGCAGATTTCGCTTAAATCTGCCGTGTATTGGCGACTGCAGCTACTTCAGATCAGCACCTTATTACGGAATTGCCAAAATAAACTGTGTCGCCATGTCGTAGTGCCATGTTACTTTGGTAATCATAACCAACCCTGCCCTTACTGAGGCCACGTATGTATGGCGTTATTCTGGCATCCTTAAAACCATTGTTCGTGCCTTGCCTATCCGTTTATTCACATATAGAAACTCTATCCTATGAATTCAATACTCAGCTATTGGCGTACAGGTTCACTACGTGAAAGAATGTCAAACAAAAAATGTGGCACTTGAACAACTAACGGGCTGAACGACGTTATATGAAGGTCACCTATATAAGCGAAGACATTGCGGGAATATGCCACAAGTGGACACCTCGCTCTGCGGTAGGTGTAATCATCTTCCAATGTATGCATATTAAAAGAGCTATTAGAGACAACGCATTGAAGAATCTACAGAGAATAAGAATTATCAAAACGAAACATTCAGACTTTACAGGCTACATCGCATCATCTACCCCTGCCACCGAATCGCGAGAGCTTTCTTAAATTTCACCACCTCAAAGCAGCCGCTTCTCGCAACCCTTTCTTTTTCTTCTCAGGGCGGCGTAAATGTACGTACTTGTGACCCACACGCAATCATGCCCCTTCAGCCACCGAGGACGCACAGGAACGAGCGCGAATCACGCGAGGGACTCAATTAAGGGGTGTTAAAGGAGGAGATGCGTGCACGCACCTGAGCGCGGCAATTCCCTGCTGTTTACCTGCGCACGGCCATCAGGGCGTTTGATGTACACGAACATGGCCGTGCGGCCACTCACCCGCAATCCGAGTGGCACGTTCCCCGCAGGCGCTCATCACTTCCAGAATATTCTTTTTTCTTCTTTGTTGCTACGTTTCACCTCTACCATCGTAATAAGCGAAATCTGCCTATATACGCACAGCTAGGCGTCCGATCGTGCTGGCACGTCGTTTAGCTTCCTATGCAAGGTGAGTCACTACCCCTAGTAGGACGTGCAGTAATTTCTTTCCTACCACCTGTTGCTCACCCACGAGACACTCCGTCAAAAGCACCGCCTGTGGAATGCCTGTCTAAATGAGTTAGACGTACCCATACTAACGAGAATACTCGCTTATTGCAGCCGGAATAGTTGTTCGGTATGTGAGACGGGAATAGCAATTGTCACGCAAGAAAGTGAAGGCATAATGAGGCGGGGATGGGGTCTATAGTTGGTGCGCCTTCCGTCTGTTGTCCCTCGTTCTTGTTTTTCGTACCTTGCAGCGCATCATAAGTGGGAAGGCTTAGTTCTACTGGCTAGTCAATTTGGGTTTAGAAGACAGAACATAGCCCGTGAGACCAAAGAAAGTATGCAGATGTTAGAGCAGGGCTGCACAAAATAAGGGCAGCGCGTCACGTCCGGCCCACCGCCGGATATTTAAGCAGTTCATGTCTGAATTCAGACATCAGTGGCGTGCTCGTGCGGAAATCAGATAGATAGGTAGACAGCAAAGTTTGATGGTAATTCCGGAGATATTCTCCCAGTTGGTTTATCGCCTGGCTTGCTACTGCTCCCGAGAAAGGTTGAGCGTATACACAGGTGGGTGCAAGGTGAAGAAGAAATAAAATACAGCGCTGAACTACAATTTATCATCAGTCTAATCAGCTTTAATCAATTGCCATTGAGCATAACTTGCCGTTTAGCGCTGCATCTTTCTTTCTTCACCTTGTCATCGTGTGAGTACGCTGTAACGTTTCTAGAGTGCAGTATCAACTAGCCCAACAAGTTTTCCTTGTGGACTTTAATGCAGCCGGTATAAGGTGTGGTGACTATGCCACACACAATCATGAAAACGCACACAAATGATAGGTACAGTCACGCACACTCGTGTACACAAAAAGTAGCTCATAGATATTCATTCAGGTCTTTTTGTTGCGAGAAAAGTGAGAATGTGGACAAACGCGATAAATAAAAGCGGCAAAACGTTGGTGACGAATACTATAAAAAGTGCGACGTTTATAAGTTTTCGTAGGACACGAATTCGGAACGATGTCCGCTACTAATACTACTGGCTTAGCGTCTGTATAAAACAAAACTGCACATGATTCTCTGAATGAATGAATACGACCTTCTTTCTTTGATGCTCAATGCAGTATTTGAAAAAGAGCGATCACTCCAAGAAGTCTGCAGCTTTTAACGTTTCTGCAACGGCTGTGAAGCTTCTAAGCTTTCTCGCTACATTATCGCTCGTGTGCAGGCCGTGGTCATTGTTTACAGCCTTCGGTAATTTTAATTCGCGTGTCCTTGCGGAAAATGAAAAGAAAGGCCAGTGTGGGAAGATGAAAAAGACACAATGTAAATGTTACTCATATCTTATAGAAGGCATCTTCGCCTCGTCGACAATGGAGTGTGTATAAATCATAGGAACCATTCACGCCCTTATGTATTCGTGACGCTGGTGTAAGATGAGAAATGAGAGAAGCAACCCTTCATACGACCTTAGTATGATACGAGAAATACAGCGGATATCCTGCGCTTTCTCACGAGGAGGCCACGCAAACTGCCTGAATTAAGGAGGATGCCGCACACCTTAATTGCTCGTTTGTCTACTTTGAGGGTGAAAGACGTTTGTGTATTGCACAATAGCGTCTTAAAATGAAATATTACATGATCGAGCTTGATGTTGGCGAAGTCGGTGAGATTCACACGGCATAAACTACAATGGCATAAATTACACGTGTTGGTGTTATTACCATAAAGCACAGCAGTTCAGATGTACGCCGGAATCATCAAACACAATTAGAAGACGTTTCAAAATCTTACAGGCTACCACGACCATTAGCCTACATTGCGTTGTCTAGAACATGCGCACTTAATTGGTGCCGGCTTCACTGTGCATTTAAACCGCAGATTACAATCTACCGGAACCTCTTCTCTATAGCCTCAGTAGATGAGAACTAGTGTTCGTACAGCAAAGTGCGTTTGTATTTAAGTAAAAATTGAGATCTGCTACCACTAAGAGGAGCGGCTCCCCCGCTTTATATTGCCGTAGCATAGCGCATCGCGATTGTCCATTGGAGTGCGGCTAATGAATCGAGCCGTGGTTATTGCTCCCGGCCTGCTTGCCAGCTGGCTAGCTAGCATCGCTCCAGCCTTCGCGCTCCAGCACTTCGATTACAGAACTGGGATGCCGCCTTCTCTCGTAGCGACAGCCGCCTGCTCTAACCGCAGTGCGGGCGCACACACACTTTCACTGTGCAATCTGCTTCGGAACAATCGTCTTCCCACGGGAAGTCAACACTTTGCCCGCAATGGGCTGCTCGCATCTCATAGAGAGGGGAAAAGAAACCGCCTTCCAAGGCAACGTCGTGAGCTGCCAGGCTCTGCGAACCACGGCACGCGGCAGGTCAATGTCGCCGCTTCGACACACCATCGAGAATCGGCTGGGGGAGGGAGGGGATGAGAAGGGAAGGGCTCCGTAAAGCATGCCGCGTTGCGCGTCCTAGTTATTAGAGGTTGGTTCGCAGCCTGCCATCGCTTCAGCATCGGCAAAACGTTTTCTTATATACGTCCACGCACGACGCGCATATACTTATCGGAGAGGACGGGTCGAGCGAACCCGCGCTCATCTAACCTATTCGTGCCGTGCCCCTTGGCGATCGGGTCAACCTCCGTGAAAGCGTTTGGACGCGCTTGTTCTGGGGAGGGGTAGAGAAAATCAATCGAGCGAGCTGTTTTCCCTTCCGGTTCACTGACAGAGCAAGGGGGGTTCATTGTGATGCTGCGGGACGCAATGGACTTGAAATGCCCATTCAGCGATGGTGGTGACGAAAGCGAAATTCGACGCTGGACGATGGCGGAACGAATCCTGAAGTATAGGGCGGACGGCTACGAGAAATATGGCGTCCACGATGAGCTGCGAGCGCTTTTTCACACGCCCCGATGTGCAGCACCCATTCGTGTGTCCATGCACGCCTCTGCTGCAGTTTTTGCGTAAGAGGTTGTCTCGGCCTGTCGAAATTACCATTTGACATCTTGCTTAAATTGCGGTTCGGTGTCCCTCGCGTATTCGCTAAGCGTTGCTTCTTGATAAGTGGTTCTTATGGAAGCATTCGGCTTTCGAGGTCACCTTAGTGCTAAAGGCTCTGTATATCATCGGTGAAGTTTTAGATGAGAGAAACATTGCTAGTAGTCCTCTGTTCTCAATTCGCCCCTCAATAATCGAAACGGCACCATCCCCGAATTACAGCATGAGGCGTCGTCTTAGTGTGCCCACAGTAGCTCTATTGTGTGTATAATGGCTCAATTGCTATACGCTCATGACTAACAAGCATTGAGAACAGAATAAAGGCCTCGCACCCGCTAGCATCACAGGTTGATACAGGTTAAAGAGAGCTTTAGGCTACGACTGAAGTTCCGGACTGATGAATCCACTTGCTGGAGCGTGTGAAGATTTGAGACACTCTTGATCCAGCCGATCTGTTACCCCTTTTTGATTTAACAAGGTTTCATTCGAGTTCATTAATTCATTTCTGACGCACGCTGCACAATGCAGCCATGGAGAGTACTTCAAACTATGCAGCCCTCATGTGCACGCCTTCGGAGGCACGCGCATATAAAGGCTCCCTACTTCAAACTGACTTTCAGCGCCAGCTGCACTTTGACCTGACACGGGGTTATTTAGCGGTGTACGTACCAACGCGGGAACGACGTGCTCTCAAAAGCGAAGCCACGAAAAGAGAACCCCTCTGAACCGGAAGTCTTGTCACTTAATTTGTAACATCGGCCTCCATTCGATCTTAGTTATCACATTCATAATAGAAAAATGAAGTTAATTTCAGTTCTTCCTCGAGATCTGTCGATTGATCGGGCAGGAATGGCTAAAGGCAGCGTTTAACCAACCTTCCTTAACCTACGGTGTACAGTACCGTCCGCTGTTAAAGGCAATGCTCTATTGAGCCCCTTTCTTACGGCTGCCCCTCAAACTGCAAGTAAACGTGGAAACATCGTTCGTGCACGCTACCAGCGCCTCCTAGATTTCCCGTGCCTGCCGGATTATCGGCGGTCACTTGGGAAGCGGCGGTCGTCGGAACTACGGTGGTGGTGCCACTCAAGTAGGGATGTCTTCAAATAGGTTTTTTACGTTTTTGGAGCTTATATGCAACAAAAATAACGTAAAAAAGTTCTAAAAAAGGCGTAAACGTAATTATAATTAACCCTATACGTAAGTGACGCCGTCATTCAGCAAACAACTTTTTTATTACAAGGCATCCTCTGAAATTAGTAGCAAACGCTAAAATTGCTGATCTCAAAGGCCAAGTACAAAATCCTTACCCCTATGTATGTAGTGCCGCCATAGATGACCGGCGTTTCGCACTCATCCGGCAGGCACGGGAAATCTAGGAGGCATTGACGCTACTTATAGTTTGTCAAAAGGAGAAAGAACCGTCAACGATCAGTTGTCTCATGTAAATCGAAGCCACCGTGGTTTTCCAAGAAAGCGAGATTGAGACATCGATAAAAATAAGATGACCTAGGTTGAAGGAATTAAAGGCAGATTAATCTCTGCCTGCTTAACGTCCCTCCATCCATACATTCGCTCAGACATTCATGCAAGTGCTCACAGAGGACCCGTCTTTTCTCAGCGAATTTGAGAAAAAACGAAACCAAAGCTGTGCTCCACGACGTTTCCGGCAAAGAGTACGACCGCGGAACTCAGTGGAGCCGTATTTGTACATCTTTCAGTCTAGCGAAGCTGCGTTCCTGGTAACTTCATTTTCTTGTACACAAACGCAGCGCATACGTACAACACGGCGAGCTCAGTGTCACAGCGCTTCCGTCTCGGTGCGTCGCGTGCGACCTCACTGGCGCGACCATGCCTTATTTACGGTAGCTCCGATCCGTCGCCGCCTTCCTCTTCAAAGAACATCGCAGGAGGCGCCGCGAAGCTCTCGGTTCCACGTAGGAAGGACGAGCACCCGGCGGTGGCCCCAGAGCGTGCGGCCCGGTTCCCGTGCTGCATTCATCCCGCTTCCGCGCGAGCCGTACACATATACATCTAGTACACAACGCGAGCGTTAGGGCTAATTCACGGCGGCCGTTCCCGTTCCACGTTCGGCGCGTATAGCCGCGCCGTGAGAGCCACTTTTCTTGAGCTCTCACGTTTTCTCTGCTTCTCTAGCTTCCATCCTTGTACTCGCGTTTGGCATGCTGCCACAGCTCGGTCGAGGTCACCAAACAGCGTCGTCACCTGGGTCAAAGGAGACGCCGGCGCTACAAACACTTTCTTCTTCTTCGTCTTCGCGCTCCACGCGAAACTTCCCACGTCTTTCTCCCGGTCTACGCACACGTACTTGTGCGTACGTACACGTCGTCTCGTTCGCTCCCGACGTTTTCTCCCCGCTTTCGTCCTTTCCCTGTCGCTCGATCTCATTCGGTGCCGAACACGGATTGATCGACGTTCCAGCGCTAGGCGTGCGGTGACATTCAATTAATGTGGCACACCCAAACGGAGCGAACACCTTGGAGTGCTTTGGGTGATGGGGGAGGGGGGACCCTGAACCCTGCACACGCAATAAAAAAAAAACTTTCCACGTGAGTGATTAATGAGGTGGACGCATTTTGGACTGTCTCTCGCTCACCAACGGCAGAGTGAAACGAAGACGTGCTATGATACCAAGCAGACCTAAAAACAGTACCGATCCACCACACGCGTTTTGCGTGTTTCTATCGCGGGTGGTCTGGAAAGCCAGGCCTGCTATCTTCCTTTCATTACCCTGCCGTGACCTCGGCCTTCTAATTACATCTCTCGCGGACCAGAATCTCATCGTTCTCTACACGCGTTTTGACGGCGAAGAAAGGACGCTGCAGTCAGTTCGTCCCGATAAAGCGCGACATTTTCGTGGAACCGATTCGACCGCCCGGTTACAAGACAACCTAGTTTGCTCCTGTTGCTTCTGGGCTATCAGTCCCGCCATTCCAGAGGTGAATAACGCCGCCGGTGTGCGAAGGAAACCCGGAATATGCACCGCAATTTGCGCGAAAATTAATCGCAGCACACAATCTCATCAACGCGTGGTGGCCTCCGGTCTATATACATAGTTGCCTCGTTACCCTGTGTCCGCCCCGTGAATAGAAGTGTATATAGGTGAAGGCGAGAACCATTTATATTCACGTTCATTTGCGGTTGGTGGTATGCTAAATAGAGGCACCGGGAACGTGTGTGGAACTGAGAGTGCCGTGCCAAATTGTGGACGCAGTTTTCGTTCTTGCTTTGGGAACGTCGTGTAAACACGTTACTGGTGCGAGATTTAAGCACACATAGATAGGGAGAAAGAGAGTGAGTGAGACGCATGTGAGCATTTTCTCGGCTTCATATATATATGCGTGCTTGAGGTAAAAAAAAAATACAAGTAGGTGGGAGACTTATCCTTAGCCCCAAGCAAGCGCTTTGTTTTTGTCACATGCAGTTAAAAAATGTGGTTGACTTCTAATATTTAGGACATCTCCGCATCCAGTAAGTGTACTCTCACTTGTATTTAGGGGACGAAGAAAAAGCAGGAAGGTGTCTTTAAACTATTTTACTCTGGCCATTCTGTGGTGATTAGGTGAAATTTATTTCTTGGTTAACTGATAGAGTATAGTTCTAGTATTCAGCTGGTTTTGTAACAAGCTTTTTTGTCATATACCTTGTCTTATGAATCACAGCCTGAAAACAGCACATACTTCGTTGCGTGTTGTCCTATTCTTCTCTTTATTTCTTTTGTCTTCCACTCACCATTCCCCAGTTCAGGGTAGCAAACCTGTCATATTATCTTTTGGTTATAACATCCTCGCTTTTCTTCAATATGTTTGTCTCTCTTTGTATATATCTCGGTTTTATCTATAGTACATGCTGCTGTTTTGCTCACGTGTATGGTTCTCAAGATAAGTGCTAAGTTCTGAAGCCAGAGGCATGCGGGCTTACAAAAAAAAAATAATGTTTCTAGCTCATGAACGAGATCTGCGCTAAAGTAAGCACTTGAATGGGCTTTTAATATGCGTTTTTGGTTAATATCTGTTGATTTAAACATTGAGACGTATAGTGCCGACTTGTGTGGTGCACGTATGCTGCAAAATAGGCGGAAACTGCGTTGAACGTGAAGATATGTGAACCAAGTGCACAATTACTTTGCTACGAATAGTGTAATCCTACGTTTAATCAGTGATCATACTCGGTTTGCGCTTTTGCAAGGAGCCCTTGCTTTTTTGCCTTGAATTCAATTATATAACAGAAAAAGTGCTTCGTCTACAAGATGCACTAGTGGTGACTCGCTTTTATATTGCGCTAATAACCTTCGTGTTCTTGGCGTCACGTGCATGGTACTGCTGTATGCCTCAATGTTTTGAGCTTGCTTGGAACACTCATGAAAATCTTAATTTTGATGCGTCAGTTTGAATTTACATCATGTTCTTTCTTTCGTTCTTTCTTTCTTTCTCTATTTCTCTCTTTCTTTCTTTCTTTCGTTCTTTCTTTCTTTCTTTCTTTCTTTCTTTTACCAGGGAGGCTTATTCCCTAATAAACTGTCCACTTTGGGCTGGGAGTCAACCAGCAACCACACTGAGCATTTCCTTTCGCCGCGCGAACAACTGACGCGCGCCTTCAATAACCTCCATGCAGCCCACCCATGAAGACATTCGCGAGGGCATCAACTCTCCCATGCCGTACGGCTTCAAGTACGGCGCGTACGGCGACGACGGCGGAGGTCACACGCGCGAAGAATCGGCGGACGGCAGCGGGCGCGTCGTCGGCTCGTACACCATCTTCAGCCCCGAGGGTTTCCTCAGGCGCGTCTTCTACGAGGCCGACGAGAACGGCTTCCGCGCCCGCGTCGAGACCAACGAGCCGGGAACCAAGACGTCCAATCCGGCCGACGTCACCATCGTGTCCACGGCCGACGGAGGAGGACCTGCCGGCGGCGGTGGAGTCAGTGGCGGAACGCGGGACACACCCCTGCCTGGTGGGTCCACGACGCGGCCCGTGAAGACTACGTCACCGGATGCCGAGGGCACGACCGTGAGTGCTTTTGGTCTCGCTTACGCGTCATGTACGTTGCGGCTGCCTGTCTACGTATGTATACTGCAGCTCGACGGATATACGACGTATGGTAAACGGACGCGTCGTCTGAAAGGACCATTCGTATTGCTTAGGAGTGGCACGAACGGCGGGAAGCCTCTTGCACGCGGGAATCGGGGTAAATCCTGGATTCTCGAAAACGAGTTCAGGGCTATGTGTGCGCGATGCGCGCGTATAGCTCCGTACGCCATGCCTCAGCCCGTCCTCTTCGTTTTTGTGACGACTTTATTTAAGGCCGAAGAGGAGGATTTGTTCATTTTTGTTTTCTGAGGTAGACTTGACGGCGCGAGTGAGATCAGCAGCTGAGTAAGTTTTCTTGTAGCCAGGCCTTTCGCGGCGTGACGAAACTGAGATGCATCCCAAATGTGAAAGTTAACTAGCAAGCCGAACAGCGTCGTGATGCAAGCCCACGTGTTCTACAGTGGTCGGACGCAAGCCCACGTGTTCTACAGTGGCTGTCAACGTTTTTCTTCTGTCTGGTCCTTCCTTCCTTCTTCATGTATAGGTCAAGCTTTACGCCCCTTGTCTCACTTGATGTATTCCCGTAGGTGGGCCAGGCATTTTTTCTTCTTTGCAGCTTACTTAAACACGCGCACGCGCGCGCGCGCACGCACGCACGCACGCACACGCACACACACACACACACACACACACGCACACACACACACACACACACACACACACACACACACACACACACACACACACACACACACACACACACACACACACACACACACACACACACACACACACACACACACACACACACACACACACACACACAATGAAGACAGCAGACCACAAGCAACGTGTTGCTTCAAGGGAAAAGCGACTTGGAAACGGACGATTTGTTGCAGAAAACACCAATACCATGCTAACATCCCCAACATAAAAAACTTATCTCATTTATGTAGAGGAATGTTAGCAGTGAATACAAAAATGTTTGCCTTCTTATAAAAATAAATCCTTATAATTGATGCGTGTATCTTTTTCAATACGGTACGCTGCCAAAGTTTGTAAGCTTTAGAGGTCACGTTTGGCCTCCACTGACAAAACAAATGTCATGGGAATACACAGGGTGATTTAAGTTCCAATACAGGTTTATTTTAAAACGGCGCAAAGCAAGCTCTGATCTATGAATATTCGATTAACGCCAAGAAAACTTATCGGACTTTGATGTCACTTATGATGCGACTTATAGTTATGCCAATGAACGAAAGACGCAGCTTCGTAACAGGTACGCATCAAATTCTCCACGTGAATCATAACAGTGCAGTCACAGCTTTTTCCGCTGTTTATCCCCAATTCTACGTTCCCCCCCCCCCCCTCGCTGTGATGGGCACAGCGCGCACTGATATTGCCGGTGGATGATCGTTCCTTTACCCGGGAAAAGATCTTGGGTGCCGCGTTTCACAGTACATCAGTCCAGAAAGCCACACGAGCCCTACTGCAATTCTTGACCGTGATATCACTGAACAACCGCCTGCCAAACACTGCACTGTGTGTGCGGTGTGCTACGCGCATCTACTTCTCTCTCTTTCTCTTTACTTCCTTATTCTCTCTCCCCACAGGTAGGGTAGTAAACTGTACGTAGTGTAGTTACTTTTTCTATCTTTCCTATACTCCTTCTCTTTCTCTGTCTCGGCTGAACAATAAGTCGTACTGATAGGTATTGTTGTTTGTTGTTACTGTAGCTTTTAGCTCACACTTTATTGACATGGTTACGATACCTTCTTAGAAAACTGCTATTATCGGTCAAGAGCAGGAGCGCTTGCAGTTAAGCGGCATTGAATGAACTAACATGTCTCAAATAAATAAATATTTCCAGCAAGATTACAGAAAATTGCGAGGCAGTGAAGTACGTAAGTACACGCAGGACCTTACGCGAGCTAGTTGCTAAGAGCTCTTCCTATTGTGCGCGCAAGAGAAGCCTGATGAGGGTGCCACAGAATCACCTTCGCAATGTGAAAGACGCAGAAGTTCAGTGTAATGAGGGCGTCATGTATTTATTAATGAATGGTAATGTTCATTAGCAGACTTTGTGTTCCTATATCTCGCTAGCATAATCGCCCCTTTAATTAACAGTATTAAGTGTTCCGTGCATGCATTGCTTATGATGTTCATTGTCAAATAACAGGGAGTACGGACCCTCGCCAAGTCACTCATGGTGCTTTTAATTCCGTCCCCGCCTTTTTTTTTTGACAAATGAAGACAAGACTGTGACTGAATGGATGAATAAATAAATAACCGAACGAATGCAGCACATTCACTGGGAATGTGCAATTTTAGCAGAAGAAAATTCAGTATGCCCCATTGAGGTTGTGGTACACGGCTGCGCTGGGCAGCTCCAACCTTCAGGGTCGGCTGTGGGTCATCCAGCAAGACCGCGAGGCGGCGAGGAGACAGGGTCTAGTCTCCGGGTCTCCTCGGGGGCGGCCTAGGCCCAGGCAACGAATTCGCCGGAGTTATTAATAAAGTTGTTACCACCATCAATTCAGCCACCAGTGTTATTATAAAATTATAAACAGCAGTTACGGTGCTAGACCTTGATTAACGCATTTCTTTTTTTTGCAGAACGAAGTGACGGAAACAACGACCGGCCTTCCTCCCGGCTACGTGCTCCCCGAACGGTACCGACCGAACGCATCCAGGAGGCCCTCTGGTGCCGAACTATTGACGTCACGGATTCTGACCGTGGACCGGCCGGTCGATGGAGACCAGGTCTACCCGGGCCGTCCAGGCTTCGACACAGACACGAACGCCCTGAATCCACCCCCACCGGGCATCCACACGGGTGCTCCACCTGCCGGAATCGTGCCCGTTGGTCCAGTTCAGGTTACTCGTGTTCCTGGACGTCCTGGAGTGACTCCAGGCCCCAGGCCTCGAACTCAGATCAACTACGGTCCATCTAAAGACTCTTTCGGGCAATTTGACGGCGGCTTTGCCCAAGGCGGTGGACCATCTCGCCCTTCGTTCGATGAACCGTTCAGAGTACCGGGTGGTTCGAGTGGTGGCATATTTTCACCGTCACAAGTGTCACCTAAAGGAGGCTTTAGCGGGTCCCAAGGCTTTGGCCCATCTGCTGCACGTGGCGGTGGCGGACCCGGATCGAGGTCACCTTTTGCCGACGCAGGCTCCCCGAAAGGTACGGGACCGGGTTCATTCGGAACTCGTAGGCCTGGAGTTAACTACCCGGGTGCGTTCAGTGGAGGTGCTGACATAGGACAGAGTGTGCCATCTGTTCCAGGTTACCAAGGCGGCGCTGGACAGCAGTACCAGCCCCCAGGGCTCGGAGTTCCACTTTTCACCCGCGTGACGCAAGATTCCCAAAAGTTCCCTGGAAGAGTAGACTACAGTGCTCAGCCTGGTTTCAGAGGACCGGTTCAAACAGGAGCACCAGGTGCACCTGGCGTCTTTGTCGGACCTTCTGTCTCATCAAGGCCATCTTTTGGCGGCAGAGCGCCTTTCGGTGGTCCCCGTTTTGGACCTGGTGGCAGCTTTTCTGGAGTTCCTGCAAACCAGTTTGATACCCAGGGACCTGGTGATAAACGATTCGGTGGCCCAGGACAGCTATCGTTTCAGGGTGAGAACTTGGCGACGTTCGCTTGCGTATAGATTGAAGGGAGCGACATTCTAGCTGCTACTAGAAGCAGGTGGCTCGCTTTTGTTTCGTTGTTAATCAAGTGTATTTAAGGAGAAGTTGGTTCCAATGAGCAGCGCTGACTATTTCTGTTCTCTTGCATAACAGTAGCTGTCCCGAGGTATAGAAACATGAACCTACACCAAGACAATACATAAACACTAACGCACTTAATCCCAGTACTTCAATCCAAAAAATAAAGATCCTACTTGACAAAAAAACCTTGCAAAACTCAAATATTCACTCAAATTTAATGTCCACACATAACGTGAAGGTTGGCTAAGGTGCTGTCCCAGCCGATTAAAAATTCGTAGCACATTATCTCTTGAGTGCCGCATTCCAGCTGCGACAGCTAATAGTTTAAACATATTTTGCACAAACACGAAATTGAAAAAGAAAACATGCAGCCAATCATACAGGCTGATTCTTTGGTTTTTACTAAATCTTCAAAGTGAAGGCTCATTCACGTTAAACGTACATACGCTCCTATTGGACTATGTGACGACCTAATCTCCATTTCATGTTTTTATGATGTTGGCTTAAAAGTTCAGATGTATTGTTTTTTTTTTACTCTGTATTTTCTTGTAAACATGCTCCTGACGACCCACTTCCCTCTAATATGGTGTGAAATATCCCGCGTTCAGCTTGATAGAAGAAAACGATGAGCTTTGCGCCTGCATTTTAGTGAGCACGTGGGCTTGTTCGAAAAAGAATAGGGGAAGTCATCTTTTTGAAGATAGTTATGAGGTTGTTCACGGAAACTGTACTGAACTTTGGTGCCTCAGTTTTGGAACATTGCTACAAGGATGCATTCAATGTGGTTTGGCGATTTTATTCTGGCTTCCAAACGTATCGAACTATGAATCTTCACTCTAACAAGCGTTTTAACACATAGATTCTGAATGGATAGGTGAAGTAAATGCAGCTGTGTGGCCATCTCAAAATCTTATAACTCAAAATCTGTAAAATCACTTTTTGTTTCTTTTTTATGCCTTTATTTTTTTCAATGTATGGGTTTTCTTGCAATATATTTGTATTTAATGCTAAATTCACTGATAAACGCAGTTGTAATGATCACAAAAAAAAAGCACGCTGTGCTTTTCTAGTCAATCCCGTCAATCCCCCATAGTGAGTATGAGCCACGTGATCAATAAAAACAAACAAACAAACAAACAAGCAACTTCACGTTCTGGGCTCATTCGAACGCTATTAAACGTCTGTCTTAGTTCTCGAGTCTGAGTCGATAGTTCAGCAGGCCACATATTTAACAACGGCATAAGTGGAAAAGATCTACGCGGGGTGAAACAGCGTCACTTCTGTGTACGAAAGTTTGTACCAATGACACAGTCAGACGGATGTCCTAGACTTCAAGGCTTAGGGAACTCGATCTGAAACCTTGTCGTTCACGCGGGGTTCGCGCCGGATGTGCTCTGATAGAGTAAGAGCAGCGGAAGAACGCTGACGATAAAAGTGGCAATAAGGATTTCATTCTTCGGCTGGCTCTTTCTGTTCGCGAAAACAAATGCCGTGCATTTTTCTATTGGCATGCCGCACGTCACTAACTTGTGCATTGTTGGCTCCCCCCCCCCCCCCCGAACTACATTCATGTTTCGTTGGTGCCAGCAAAGAACATCATATCTGCACAGGGTGCATGCGGGTAGTTTATGTTTCCGTGGCAGGCACTAAAGCCCTTGTAATATCTTAAATGCCTTATTTAACGATGTAACAACGATAACAACAAAAACCAGCGTAGGCGCATTTAGGAGCCTTCACTAATTATAGTGCCAGTGGGGATCACATCACACTGAGTAATACCGTCGTTCTTATTGCCAAAAGAATTTCACATAATACTTTGCCTTATACTATAGAGTTTTTTAACCACTTGCACCTCAGGACTTCCAATAATGTTTAGTACCTATCCATTTATGACTGTTACCGCCATGAAGCATCGATATCGTGGTTATCCTCATTCATGACTGTTGCCGCCCTGAGACACTGATGTCTCGACTATCCCTTTTTATGTCTTACCGGCCTAAGATTTCGATATCGTGACTATACCCCTGTATAGCTGACGTGACCTACGTTTATCGGTTGAACGAACATGACAACCCCTAATTGAAAACAGTTTGAAAGAAGGGAGGAAGAAAGGGGACAAAAACAATGTTGAGGAGCTCGGAAGTTTCCATAGTCACTGATTTACTGGTCATTCAGCTCATCCATAGTTCAAGATTCTCAAGACAAAGGAGAAAAACTTTTCGAATGCTCATTCTAACGCAATCTGTGTTCTAGGGTGTTCTCTGTGTTCATTTTTTTTTATTCACGTTTTGTTTCTTTGTTCTGAATTTGTTAATGTTGTAACCCACTTTCCTTTGTAATGGTTCAGTCATTGATGGTAACGAAACTAAACGAATAAATAAATAATTAAATAAATAAATAAATAAAATTTTGGCCAACAGAAGTTGAAACTGAAGTGACATCGAAGTATTAACTTCCGACTTTCTTTGTGAAGAGTGTTTAGTCATTTGTAGTTACATTTAGTGCAGGCTTGCTATGCCGACTAAGATATAAAATCGTTCCTTTCTTTCCGTTGGAATAAATGTCTATTAACTACTGAACCATATCTTTATATTTTAAAAACGTTAGTTTTTGCTCTCTTCGCGAGTCAGGTGGTCAAGCGGGTAACCAAGGATTCCCATTTGGACCAGGGAGCACCATTGGAGCAGACATCGATGGGGGAAGCGGTGCTGTAAGTTTAATCTTATTTGCGTTAGTGCAGTTCATGTGTGCATTCTAAGTACATCTGCACGCGAATCAAGCAAGTGGTGATGTTGGAAGGTTACAAATGTCACGGTGCGTACCCATGCATGTGACCTACACACAAATATGGTGCGCGAAAGTTCGTTTGAAACACTGAAATAGTTGTCTACCGTATTAAATAATTCGAACACAATAATAAAGCAAACTAAAATCCCAGCTACAGTACATGCACGAACGTTTAGTTTCCAAACAAGCCTTAAGAGGACAATCTTGTTACTTGTTGTTGTGTTACTGTTGTTGTGTTACTTGTCTTGTTACTAGACTTATGCCCTTGCAAAAGTCTAGTAACAAGCAACTCCTGTCCAACTACAGACCGATATTACTTACTTCGAATTCCGTTAAACTGCTTGAGCATGTCATTCACAATCATATAACGGAATATATTGAGTCAAATAACCTACTCTCGAACATTCAACATGGCTTTCGTCGTGGTTTCAGCACACTAACACAACTGGTCGAATTTGCGCATGACATATCCAGCAATCTTGACATTGGCAATCAGATTGACGCGTTATTCATAGACTTTTCCAAGGCCTTCGACACCGTTATACACAATAAGCTGCTAAGTAAAATCGATGCTATTTTGAACAACCCTCGATTAACCGAATGGATAGCTAGCTTTCTTAAATCTCGATCTCAATATGTGTCATTCCACTCCACTTCGTCCTCAACTGTCGATGTAAATTCGGGTGTTCCACGGGGATCCGTTCTAGGACCTTTATTATTTTTAATATTTATAAATGACCTTCCGAACAATTTGAAGTCTCAGGTCCGTCTTTATGCCGGTGATTGCGTCTTATATCAAGTAATTTCTTCTTCTAGCGATTATGCCTTACATCAGGATTCCTTCACCAGCTTTTGCACATGGTGCAGGCTTTGGCAGATGCGCATTAACTTTCAGAAAACTGTAGTGGTATCATTCACTAACAGCCGTTCTCCGTTGCTGCATGATTACACTTACGAGAACACAATAATTCCCCGGGCAGAAGAGTATAAATACCTTGGGGTTATCTTATCACACAACTTACATTGGTCGCGGCATATTGATTACATCACATCCAAAGCACTGAAAAAATTAGGTTACCTGCGTCGTACGTCATCTAAATCTCCGAAATGCACCAAGTTACTGTTGTATAAAGCGCTCATACGCCCTATACTAGAATATGCTTCATGTGTCTGGAACCGGTATATAACATGCGACGTCAACAAAATTGAATCTGTTCAAAGGAACGTGGTTCGTTTCATTTGCCATCGCTACGATCATAACTTTTCACCTTCATCAGCAATGACTTCCTTGAAACTCCTTCTCCTATCCACCATACCGACGGGATACCGATTCTTTGAAGCTATTGCATCCATTTCTTCACTCATCTTGTCGACTATCTTCAGATGATTACATGTCATATGCTGATACTCTTTCAACTAGACGTTACCACAGCCTCAACTTGAAACCTTTCTTTACACACACGAACATTTTCAAGAACAGTTTTTTTCCTAGAGCTATTGATATGTGGAATGACTTACCCGGGAGTATTCGTGAATTATCGTTGTCGGAATTTGCAGACGCACTGTTATAATAAATCAATTTTTTTCCTCTCATTGATGTCAACCTTGTAATCAGTGTATATTTTCATGTAAATGTACCCCATTCCTGCAATAGCCCTGTATTGGGCTGCAGTATTTGAAAATAAATTAAATAAATAAATTACTCTTCGCAACGCAAGGTAGTACACCCGCCTGCATATAACTCAGGTATAGCGAACTATGTATATGATGCTACATTGCTACACAGAACATTAATAACCAGAACACTTTATACATCGAACATTGGGCAGCGTGAAACGGCCTAAGAAGTTTTCTTTCACAAGAAGTTGGCATTCTTCCGCGGAGGCGAGCTTTTCTGCGTGCATTTGGGAGAGAGTGAAAAAAACTCTTTATTGAAAAGCAGAAAATTTAGCCGGCATATGCAAATTGTCGACTTGCTACTCTGCGTAGGGAAGGGGATCGGGATTGGGGTTAGGGAGAGTGAGTGGTTAAGGTCCCTAGACCGTACGAGTGGTGTGATAAGAGGGCTCGTGGTGTAGCGAGTAGAAATTACTGCTTGCCATCACGTGTGCGTTCCACCATGATTTCTCTTCTTTGCGCTCGAAAGTCCTTAGTGCACGGTCCCCACTCGTTTCGCGAGCAAAAAAAGAAAACAAAACAAAACCAAAAACAAAGATAAGCTGAAAACGATCGCACTCTATTTTCCGCTTTGGCTTTTGTCGTGTTGCATGCATTTATACAGCAAAAAGCAGTCTTACCAAATGTTATGGTTATAGTGACGCCGTACTTTATCGCGCATAATCAGCTCCCGCATATAATATACATCTCCAATTGCAAGCCATGAAAAAATGAAGATCTTGCTTTTAAGTCGCCTTTTTTGCATTACTTAAACACATTGCCGTGAAGCAAACTTGCGCAACAAAACGTGGTAAATTAAAAAAAAACGTTTTACATTGAATTGCCCGATGTAGCGAACTAATTAACCCACTTATTTGCAAATTAGATTTATGCGAGTGTGACTGTTTCCTCGATCTATTATCTGAGAACTGAACACATCACGCGAAGTGGATGAAATTGGTCACTAAATATTCAACTAAGATGAGATGCTTTAGGAAGTACGAAAAAGACCATTTGATGCCACGCCGTACTTTACATGACTATTTGTGTGCAGCCTGCAGCATAGCATAATGAAGTCAAAACACTTTCTTTAAACTCAGGATTCTAGCAATGAGGATGGCTTCGCACCCAACGATCCCCGGAGGCCGTTCCTCTTCAGAAACGAAGACGAACGAACAGCCACTCCCACAGGTCCCGCAACTCGTGGCGGAGCTGGCCAGGGAGACGGCTCGTATGCCATCCAAGTGGATAACGGGAAGATTCAGTCAGTCGACTTCCGTCCGGGCAGCAGGCCCTTTCAACGTACCGGTCCGGGCAACCGTTTCGCAGCAAACCGGGGACCTTTCCGGCGGCCTGCTCTCGGAGCTACACACCGGGAAGACCCATTCAGACCCTACAAACCTCCCCCTCTTGAGGTATGACTTTAGATATTTTGTATTCGGGAAGGGACAAAAAAATGGATCAATTGCTATATACGCGCACAATGAGACCGTACCAGCTGCCACGATATTGAACTTCTACAGAACACTTCACTCAAAAACCGACACAGTACTGAAAAAGAAGTCAACGACAGAGTTTTGACAGGTTGCACGTACACCAGTAGTCAAGCTCTAATCTCAGTTTTATATGTATAAAATGAGCAGGCTTCTCTTTAGCCGATAATGCTTCTATCAAATGCAAAATTAATTGCGCTTGTGTGGACTGTACTTTCGTAGACATGCATTTTCGTAAAATTTGTGTGAGTGCGTTTCATTGACTGGAACATGACGTTCTTAGCTGGTGGATAAGAGTTAGGGGTCTCAAGATTGACAAACAAGAACTGCATTGATTAAGAATATGTTTAGTTAAGATGTTAGCAACACTTGCTGTATTTACATGTTAAATATCTATGTCAATGGTAAACCTGACAGCCTCAATGCAGTAACCCTACAAATGCCCACAAAAACGATGAACTACAAAAGCTCATGGTGTGTACTGTCGTCGAAGATGTGTCAGATATAGTATTTATCTTTGAACCTTCGTTTCAATGAGAACACAAGTCAGTGTATCATAGGACTTTTAAAAACAGAAACCACTTTATTTATTGATTTTTTTTTATTTTTCACAGAGTAGCCACCAGGATCCCATCTTCGTTCCGCAAAGCTTTTCCGGACCAAGCAGTTCAACTACTTCATTTGACGACGCGGAACCACAGCGCATTGATGGTTTCAAGTATCAGCAGCAAGCTCCAGGTTTCGGCGGGTCAAGGTCTCCCGACGGTTTCACCGGGAACTACCCTTACCGCAACACATATTCTTCCGGTGGCTCGCAGCCTCCCACTGGAGCACGAGACCAGTTCCCCGGAAGACCGCAGCAATCTTTTTCTCCATTCGCCAACGGAAGGCCCGTACCAGGCGTACCCACATCAAACTTTCCGAACCCCCGAAACCATTTTGCAAATCGGTTCTTTGACCGAACTCCCGCTGGAACCTTGGGAACCCCGGTCGGAAGTCCAGCTGGTTTTAGCCCTCCATCTTTAGTTAGCATGGAAGTCATCCGATACGGCCCGCAGGGTCCGAAAGTTCAAAGTTTCAACGGAAGTGCACTTCCTGGGTCGTTGGCGCCCCCAGGAAACCTACCACAAGTCGGTGGACCGTTGAAGCCGACGAGATTTCCCGGCAACCCGTTCCTAGCTAACAGGCTCCTGCCTCGTCCTCCGGTACCAGTCAAAGGCAACGCAAACCGCGTCCTGTACAGCGAAGCACCACAGCAGGCGACTTTACCAAGGCGACACGGTGAACCGAAGGGCAACAAAGATGACTATGGTGGTGCTTTCGAAGGTTTGATCAGAGACGAGCGTCCAGACCTCTTGCAGCTGAAGCCCAAACAGAAGCCGTCTAGTTCCGCACAATCGCAGCCAGGGGGCAACTTTGACTTCCTGGAAGACCTCCTGCCATTTTATGAGAAGGATTTAGACATAGGAAAGAAGCCGAATGAAGCCGCGAATGGAGGTGACAGAAAACCCGTAATTCACAAACCCATAGTGCCAGAGCATCGCGATTTGCTTTGTGATGACGACGAACCGAGGTTCCCTGGCTCAGGTCAAAAGTCCCCTGATGATTTAGTTAGAAGACCAGAATGTATAAATAAGTCAAAACATCAAGATGGTGGTTCTGGTGAAGGAGTGAAATCTGATGGGAAAAATGTTGAGGCTCCTGTCGACCCTGATGAAGAATTTTTAAACTACAGGAATCCATTTTCAGGAGTACTTCCGTCTCTTGGAGCTCCAGAAAAGGTTGACAGAGACAGCAAGCAATTCCAGCGCCCATTCCTTGACACTGACAAAAAGGTGATACCGGTGCTGATTGATCAAATTGGACCTGCCGTCGTACTAGATGGTGCCGTTGGAACGAACAGAAACGGACTGGGCCCTAGTACTGGCGAATCCGACATTCCAGATAGGTCTTCTCCAGAACTCGGTGCCGGGAGCCCTGTTGAAGGAAGACGAGGATTCGGCCACAATGGAGTTTTTAGAACAAACTTTGGACCATTTTCCGGTTCCTCCAGTGGCCAGTTCGGTCCTCGTGGCGCCGGCCCAGGGCAGGGCTTTGGTTCAGCTTCTGGCCCGCGAGCTCAAGACGGTAACTTCTTGAGGTTCCCCTACGCTCCAGGTCGTAGTGGAAACGACCTGAGAAATACGCAAGACCCTTTCAATAGGAACTCGCAACATTTCGGAGATCAAGATTTATCTCCCCAACCACCGCAGCAAACGCTACGCTTTGGACAAAGGCTGAGCGGCGTGAGAAATCCCAATTCTCTCGTTCCTTCTCGGCGACTACCGAGCGTACAGCAACAACCTGAAAAGCGGATTTATTTCCCTCCACCACCACTCCACAGAAAAGCCGTACTTTCTCCTCCAGACGTTCCAGGCGGCCTAGGGAACTCGTTTAATGGCCGCGGACCGTTCAGTTTCTCTCAAAGTCAAGGGGTGACTAGGGCAGGACAGCCGACAGTCGGATCTTTCCAACCTGGGGCCCGAGCACAGGGAAATGATGGAGCCGTACTACCACGATTTGGTTTCGTCGACTCAAGACAGTTTCGACCACGGCCGAGTGCCGGCGACGTCTCAGGAAGGGAGGACGTGGGCGGGGATGTGGATACCTTGCAGAAGTTTGTACATGACAACAGCCCACCGCCAGCCTCGTTCTCTTTTTCAGACGCTAAGAAGTCGCCCTTAGTGCCTCGTCGCCCATCCCTGAGCGACGGAAGACGGAAGACGTTGAACAGTCCGTCCGGCGACGCTGGGAAGGGTGGCCAAGGACAAGTTACACGGGAAGCACCGGAAGGTGCACCGAGGCAGGACCCAGCCAGTCTTTCGCGAAGACCGTTCCCTGATGGTAATGCACGCATCACCGAAGATCTGGACAGCAGGACTCCAAATGCCGTGCGAGGTCCTTTCAATTTCGTAGACACGCGTGTGCCGTTGGACGTGGCTCGGCAACGGGTCGTCCAGCGTAGGCCTCAAGCTTTCGATTCACCACGTCAGCCTGGGAGCCTCCCTGCACGTGCGGACGCACCTGCTCTGCAAGGGATACCAGAGGACAGCATCTTGGACGATGGTCGGCAAGGTGGTTTCGATGGTGCACCCGAAGATGTAACGAGGCAGATTTTGCCAACAAACAGGCGGGTTGGTGGTATCAATGGAGAACTGATAGGCCCTGCAGTGATAATCCCTCAAACGGGGCCTGTGCGTCAGCCAGTTCAGGTGAGCAATTTTTTCGTTGCGGAGTTATAGCTCTACAAAACAAAAACTCGGCCTTTTATTGCATAGACCTCTGCTCTCATGATAAAGTGCGATTGTGCGGTGATGTCATTAGGAGGCCGTAGCGCCGTTGCTTCTGCCTTGGTATTCTCAATATGCATAAATTCCGGTTCGTACATATTTCTACCATTATTTATTTGCGGTAATTATCCTACATTTAGATTAAGACCAGCGTAATTACCCGGCTAATGTTTATTTCTCATAGCAGTCGATAAATGCTGGCTGAGAGCTTACTAAACCGCACATTAGCTTAAGTGTTCTCGTTTGCTTCGTAATGCTACTCTTTTCACTTCAATACATGAAACAATATAGGTATATATTTATTGCACCTGTGTTTAATTTGTCTTTATTCGTTCTATTTTACTTCTCATATTTTATTTATTATATATTGGGTTGTGCTGCTGCGCCATGTAATGTGAGATGTGGGCAGTACTACTCAATATTTACACACGAATAACTTTGTCCATGGCTCGACACATTGTTATGATCGAATAAAAATTAATATTGAGTTCATGTCACCGATGACATTTACGCCATATATGCAATGAAAGCTCTTACCCGGTTATAGCAACCTGACCATTTACTTAGCTACCTAACTGCATGTTCAGCAGTGTCTTTCGAGCAAGTTGTCCTAACGGTGTATTCGGGTATACAAATCCGCTTTAACAGCGCGTGAATTTTTTTTTCAGACGCCCCGGCCCATTCTTCTGAAGGTTGAGAGGGTGCCACTCGGAGGAACTGCCATCCCCGAGGACTTGGTATCCGACAAGAATCCACAAGATATCCAGGTCTGAATCTCTCGATTTTGTAAAAGGTTGTTACGTATTTCTCGCCTCCGCTACACCGAACTCTTCAACGAGGGGTTACATGGGCACTATTGCGGTAATGGGCACATGATTTTGGCCGGGGGTGGGGGGGAGGGATAGAGAGAAGTAGAGAAAGGAGTGATGGACTTTCGCTACCTAGTTATTTATTAACATACACTGCCACCTTGCATAGCACGATATTGCATGTTTCCATACATGTTACATGTTATCAGTAAGTGTAATACGTGTTAGTAATACTATCGAGGGTTTTTCGTAACAAAACCGCGATAGTACGGTGAGGAACACTGCAGTGAAGTACTACGAAATTTCGACCACCTGGTGTACATTAACGTGCACGGACCTCGCACACAGTACATGGTTCTCTACATTTTGACTACACCGAAATACCATCGCAACAGCTGGGATCGAACCCGTGATCTTCAGAGTGTAATACATATTAGATACTTAGTCTAGCAATTAGTTATTCTACAGTGTAGCAACATTGGTGCACTCGCGAGTCGTGCCGTACCACGCTGCCTGCGTTGTGATCTTCCGTATTCCGGCCAACGATATTGTTTCTTGGTCAGCTGCACGTGCAATGGAACTAACTATTTCCGCCTCCTCCAGCTTGGTATTGAAAATCGAGCAATTTGAAGAGGCTAAAACGAAAGGTGACGGCTCGAACCCACGAAGAACATCAAGTCGCACACGCCATGGCAAAATGGCTGTTAACGGCAGTGGGCGTGGTTCATTGCCGGTGGCTGCTATAGGCCTCTTTTTAACGTGAAGTAACCTTTTACAGGCCACGTTTCGCATATGCGCCGGAACATTGAACCATCTGCTTCTATTTTGCGCTGAAAACTGCAATGTGGTGGGTGGCCGTGTCATGGCCCCTACAAAAACACACAGAATTGAAGATCGGGTATTTCGTAGCGCTGTTTTTTATCGAAGCCAGAACGAAAAAGAGCAAAATAACGGCGTACCATGCATTCCTTGCCAGCGGCAACGCGTAGTGTGTGCGCAACGATTGAAATACGACGAAACTGCGTTGTTGTTTGTTATTACAACAATCACAGCGACCACTTAGTGGTTAATGATGATGATATCTTTCTACGAATGCACTCACCTTCGCCAGAAGCGAGCACCTTCATCGTCATCATTATGATCGTATTAAGAATGATTTCTATTTGGCCTAATTTGGGAAGAGATATCCCAACATGATGACAGTAATGTACAAGATAAATACAAAGATACGAAAAGTTGAATAAAATATTTTCACCAGTGCCGCAAACAACAACAACAGCAACAAACGAAACACAGAAAGCTTTGTGAACTTGCGCATTCATTGACTACTGTGGGTCCTTATGTAACCTAGATTACTTTTGCCTCTGAGCCATTAAAATGATTATTATAGCTGTATGCCAGTGATATTCAGGCTCTAGTCAGTAGACGCGCGTGACTCGTTTTCAAAAAGGTAAAAAAAAAGAAGTTCACAGATGTTCGTGCCTCGCCACACGTGGATTGACAAACTTCAGCTTTTTCGTCGAATAAACGCATGCTGAATAAGAGCGTTCAGAAAAGTAAAACTCTTCTGACAACATTGGTGGCTTCAACAAAGTCAGCATTGTGCAATGCGCCTCTGAGGAAGCCCGAAAACTGAATGAGCACAACTGCTGCGAAGTATGTGGTACACTACAGCAATAACTGTGACTGCCGACCCTATTTTGGTGGCTGCATGATGTACCGTGGTACCGAGCTGCGTTGGGGCTTTACATGCCTGGTGGTAAAGCCGCCAGAGGGTGCTTTGGTAATGCAGTGCGTGCAAGTACGTCTCGAATATTAGTCAAACATTTAAAAAAGCTAATATTTCCTGAGTATATAATCTTGCTGTTGCGCTGGCGCGCGAGGTTGAAGTTTTTTAGATATATTTGCGTTTTGTAAAGTTTACATGTCAATAGAAAGAATGTGTCGTCTGCCTCTAGCCCGTGCGTCATCGCCACTTCGCGTTGCCTTTCGATATGAATAAGAACTAATTACAAGCTTCATACGACGTCGACAGTCAGCTTCTATGCCGAGCTCTGTCAGACGAGCGGTACACCACCTGATTTTCGAGGTACGATATAAAATGCCCGACTCTGTTACTGGGAAACTGGCTAAAATGCAGGATCATTTTCTCTTACGCTTGTTTCAACGTAGACAACATTTCTTTCGCGTAATCGATAATTTTTTCAATCGCGCGAGCAAAACTCTAGAGAGATACGAGCAAGTCAAGATCTTGGGAAGCAGGCCAGCAAAATTGACTATAAATGAAGCAAGACGTTCAAGGCAGCCTTTTCGGAGAGCTTTATTGTAAGAAAAGTAATTTTAATGTTTAGCGGTCGATCAAGCTGGCGCGAAGCGGTAGAGATCATGGCAGCGCATACCCGAGGGGCTCCACGAAGTCGTTGACCACGCAGACCAAAGGAGGGAATTTCGTTGATCAGCGTCTAACTTTGCTCAGTCTCTCACGGGCACGCGCGTGCCGTCGCTCACCGCTCTGAGTTCCTTGTCGAACGACCGCCAGGGACACTTGCCGAATTCACAGACGATCCCTCGAGCACCTTCGGCATGGCTGAGTGACCGTGTAATCCTCTTCGTCCGGTGGTTGGAAGTTCATCACGTCGACAATCACGGCGATAGGCTGTAAAACTTGCGGCGAATCTTGTCGTGAACTCGCATTTGAGCGGCGGTCCAGTTGGTTACATGAGCGGTGGTCCACGTGGCAACTTGAGCGGCTTGGGTAGCGATGCATATCTTCGTCCGCGTAATGTTCCATGTTGTGGCGACTGCTACGATGTCCCGACGGCGGGCTGTGCTCCTTGTACTCGACGACTGAGCCTTCCTGGCTCTCGGTAATCTGATACTTGTCGTAGTACACCTGATGTTGACTGGTCGAGCTGATTCGCTTCTCCACCTTCTCGCCCACGTCCCGAGGTCGCGAGCGGTGGCGAGCCGGCGGAGTGTTCGTGTAGTACATGTGTCCCCTCTGGTGCTGAATTCCCTTGCCGGGCGGCCGCTGCTCTCCGATGTTCATGCCGGACGGGCGGCGCTCGTAGACCTGGACCTCGACGTAGTTGCGCGCCTCATCGTCGTCCTCGTACTCGTCGTTGAAGTACCTCTCGGCGTACACGGGACCCGGGTCGGCCATGGCCCTGAGCATCGTCTCCGATGGCGCCGGTGCCTTGTACGGACCCACCTCCTTTTTGCTCTTCGAGCACTTGGTGCACTTCTTGGACTCGGTGGAGGCCTCGGAGACGTCGGTTTTATCGGATGCTGCGCTCTTCTGAGACTTTTCGGACTTGTCAGACTTGTCGGACTTCTCGGACTTGTCTGACTTCTCAGACTTCTCGGACTTCTCTTCTTTGGGCGGCCCCGCGGCTTTTGGTGAAGTGGGCTTGGCGGAACCCTTGCCGGAACCCTTGCCGCTCTTGGGAGTCTTGGGGCTCTTGGATTCCTTGCCTTTCTTGTCTTTCTTGTCCTTCTTGTCGTCCTTCTTGTCGTCCTTGCCCTTCTTATCGTCCTTGCCCTTTTTGTCGTCTTTGTCCTTGCCTTTCTTGTCCTTCTTATCCTCCTTGCCGCCCTTCTTTCCGTCGTCGTCCTCCTCGGGCATGGTGACGGCTGCGGCGGCCTAGGACGACGGAAGCCCGGAGGACCAAGCGAGAGCTGCGGCGATGACGTGCCGGGAACCTACTGGCAGCTTGCGCCGTTCGAACGAGCCCCGCGTGCTCCCACGGGCCGGCTTGCGCTTCGCCGTCTTCCTCAGCACGAGCGCGAGCCTTGCTACGAGCGCTCAGACAAATGTAAAATGTAATGCATCTTAGGGCCTATACTTACGTTTTTTTCCCCTAAAATGCCATTTTCGATGTCTCAGAATTAGCGTTTAGAAAAAAATTAATAAAAATAAACACGTTGTAGAGGTACGCTTGTATTTACCTTGAAGCTATTGCAACTGGCCTTCGTTATTTAAGCATGGTGGCAAAAATATTTCTACAATTTACGATGATGCCTTCTCATCGATCGTTGAGGCGCGTTTACATGGAACTCGTGTTTTTTTTTCTGAACCTTCTTGTGTGTTTTTTTTTCTATTCCGAGGAACACAAGAAAAAGAAGAAACACAAGGTAAAATAAGAGAAGTCACGTGCTGGTCCTTTTGGACAGAGAAGTAGACAACGAAGTGGACGTTTGGGTACAAAGTGCAAAACACCTACGAACGTCTTTAATCCCCTTTGATTAACGCGAATCGGTCATTCCAGCGACGCAGGAAGCGCCACGTAACCGTGCTGGCCGAAGCTGTCAAACGGTCATACACTGCAACGCAGTTCGGTCTCTCAGTAGTCATGAACCAATGAACGCGTGCTCACGCTCTGCGACGCTGACGCAAACGCTCGCGACATCACCGTCTCGTCCGCCATTTCGACCTTCGGCTGCGCCGCCTATAATCGCTGGAACGATCGAATAGCGGTAAAAAGCTCGTTTCGCGGACATTCCGGCGTCGGCGTCGGCATCGTTGGTTGTGAGCAAAAAATCATCATCTTATGCGAAATTGAAAAATCGAGAACGATGCAAGTAAAATAAATAGATAATAAAAAAAATTCCGCCATATCCACGAAGTGAATGATGATGAGTGGGCGAAGCTCCGGAGGTAAACCTGGTAAACCATGAATCCTCTGTGCATTTTGCCCACTCGATTTTTTTACATCGCTCCCCCTAGCGTACGTCGCCGCACTAAATCCAACGATTGCCTTCAACCAATGACACGCGCCATATGTGACATCATTCCTATTTTATAAGATCTCGCGCCTTTCATCAACTACAAGTACCGCTTTCTAGTTTATAACATCTTGCATATTTTCATCATCAGCTACAAGTACCACCATCTAGTAAACACTACAAGAACTAAACGAGAGGTGGCTACATACAGGAGACGGTACCGCCATCTAGTGAACACTGCAAGAACTAAACTAGAGGTGGCTACATACAGGGGACCGTACCGCCATCTAGTGAACACTGCAAGAACTAAACTAGAGGTGGCTACATACAGGCTACAGGGGACGCACAGCCCACGCCCTAAGGAGCTTCGCCCCTAAAAATCCTGGAGCACAGTGGGGACCAAACCATGGTTGTTTGGGTCTAAGTAGGGATTGAATCCTGGTTGTGTGCGTGGCAAGCAGATGCTCTACCACACGGCCACGCCTCTGCTTGTGGAAACATTGAAAGGAGCTTTCTCCACATGGACATGCAGTGAAAGTAGCTTTCATGCTTCACAAACACACGCGTCCTGTATACGTGCTTCACGATGCAACATGAAACATTGCAGTAATAATGCGTGGTACAAGCGTCCATTGCCAACGGGCGTCTGAATATGTGATTACCATGATGGCTCTCTGGTTGAAAGCCGGTACCCTACTACAAAAGGCACACACGCTACTGCACCTATTCCCTTAAGGCCACGTAGTGGGTGCATAGCAAATTCGGAAAGGTTTCATGCACCAAGTGTTTCAAATACTCACTATTGACAGGATGTCGCTATTGCGTTCAACTCCCAAAGGCGAAGCTTTAGGGTCCCCTAATTTTTATTTGTAAGGACTGTATATATTTGTCTTTTTTCTTTGTAGCTTTTGAGCTTTCTTTTTTAATTTGACGAGGTCATCATTATTGTTTGAAATGGCTAAACAGTTCATTCCAAAACCTTTGCCTTCAGCAAGTGAACCAGTTTAATAAGCAAGGCACCGTCGATTCAACGTCCTATCCCCAGGAGTGGGTCGCACCAAGATTCTGAGGAACCAAACACGCAACCACCTGGTCACGTAGAATTTCATAAAAAAAAGCTTGTGAGGAACTAGACTGGACCAGACGGTTGTTGTTACTGTAGTCCTCTGATCATAGCTCATGCCCAATGCAGGAGTTCGGCCTAGTAGATGGTGAACTTTTCTACATGGTTTTGTAGTGCCCACAAGCAGTTATGCCTTGAGAAAAATTGCAAGAAAGCGCTCACCATTTTCACTTTTCTTGATTGATTGATATGTGGGGTTTAACGTCCCAAAACCACTCTATGATTGAGAGACGCCGTAGTGGAGGGCTCCGGAAATTTTGACCACCTGGGTTTCTTTACCGTGCACCCAAATCTGAGCACACGGGCCTACAACATTTCCGCCTCCATCCGAAATGCAGCCGGCGCAGCCGGGATTCGAACCCGCGCCCTGCGGGTCAGCAGCCGAGTACCTTAGCAACTAGACCACCACGGCGGAGCTTTTTCACTTTTCTTGTAGAATTAATATTTAGAAACAAGATTACTGACATTTTACTTGAAGCGTAATTTCTATAGGTGTAATAAAGAAATTAAATACCTTGATCAAATGTGCAACTGAGTGTAACTTCATTATATCATGGTAAATATGCAACTGATTTTGCTTGAAGTTTTGACAGATTTGTTGCCCTTTCTGAGGCTTATATTCAATATATCAAATGCAATGCAGTGGGCATTAAGGTTCAAGTTCTTTCGGGAAAGATAAGCAGACGGTATAGTTAAATAATACATTGATCTGAATTGCCAATTATCAATAATAAAATATTTCAAGCCGGAAAATTGTCGCCAGATATTCTCTCAGTATGGTTCATAAAATCATTAGTGGTGAAAAAAACGTCCCTGTGGCTATATTCAAGCATAGTGGCTCCAAATGATAGTATAACGGGTTCTGCAAATTGCAGGCACTTCTTTCGAACACGTGCCTGGGGCTATGGCAGTACCCCCTAATAAAATAACAGTACCTTTATTATAATAATAACCCCTATTAAAACAGCAGTGCCACTTGTTAAAAATGTAAGTTATATTTTTAATACGGGGTAGAATTTTTTGCAGAATCATTAAAGTAAGGAATAAAATATCCTGTAACTCTACTTATGGTACTTTCTGTTTCTTGATTCTGCAAGGTTTTGTTTCTTTTCGTTTGGCTGCTTGGTTGCGTAGGTGGTTCTGTAACACTGCGTAGCCCATCTTGCGAGCTCGGTCATGAGTCGGCCACTGCAGTAAAAGTTCCTTCGGGGCATGTGTAGTTTTTGACGGCACGATATCACACTCAGTAATGCTTGAAGCACTCACTCATTACAGCCACGATCAGAGATGACGTTCTCGTTAGATGGTTACGTAATTAGAATAAAAACTGGTGTGCAGAACCAGGCATGTGTGAACTAGAGTGATTAGGTGTCAGGTAACTATAATTTCATCTCTAATGTTAAAAGAATAAAGAATTTGAGCTTTCTTAGGTTGTGGTTTTTCTCTACTTTTTTAATAATATGCCCACTCTAAAACTCTGGAATCGAACACTAAAGACGGTATAGTAGAACGAATGCATAACGCAACTAAAGAAAGAAGTAACAGCCTGTCAAGGTGAAAGGGCTTTTTGATTGATTGATTGATTGATTGATTGGAATGTGGTGTTTCACGTCCTAAAACCACGTTATGATTATGAAAGACGCCGTAGTGGAGGGCTCCGGAAATTTCGACCACCCGCGGTTCTTTACATGCACCCAAATCTGAGCTTACGGGCCTACAGCATTTCCGGCTCCATCGGAAACGCAGCCGCCGCAGCCGAGATTCCATCCCGCGACCTGCGGGAGAGGGGCTTTTAAAATCTAAAAGTTTTTTTTCTTTTGGATTCTTTCACTATCGTAGGCTTTTGTACAAGGGCCTGAACAGAAGCTCGGCCAAGATGTCACCAACCAGGAGTTGCTGCGTCGAGGTGTGAACTCAGCAGGAGCCAGTGAAGACGGGGGCAGCAGAAAAGAGGTATGACTGACTGAAAAAGATAGTCAAAACAGACGTGGCTGATTCCCCTATATAGGAATCGGTACAACACGCAAGCAAAGCGTGTCTTTACAGAAGTAGCCACCGTGAACGTCAATTGTGCATTTTTTCAGCAAGAGCAACAAATCGCTAAGTCACCTTAAGGACGGCAAGCAGCTGGAAACTTGTAGCGTACACCTCACGCAGAAAGCACGCACGAAATCAGCATACAAAGGGGCGAGCGTGCACTAACAACAAGCAGAAAGAAAGACGAACGAAACGAGCGAATAAGTATACACAGGGCAAGTGCGAACAACTGTCACACTTCTTCCTGCGTCGTGTGTCAGCAGCGTGCTCCTTGCGCAAACGCGGCCGCGGCAGCGCGCGAAGTGACCCTGCGTCCTCTACCGAATTGCGAGTCTGATAAGCCGCGCGCGCAGGAGAGACCACGCTCCGTGGAGAAGGGGTATGGTGGAGGCGACGACCTTTAGAGCGCCCCCTTACGTGACCCCATCTCGCCATCGCACCACTGATAACAAAAACGCGCTCAAGTTTCGAAGCTCGGAGGGTTGCCATACGGTGTATAGTGCACATAAATGGCTTGCCACTTGCACTACAGGCAGCGTATGAAAAAAGAATTTACTATTATAGCTCATGGTGTTAGGTTCTTTCCGTTCAAAACGACTATAACAATAATGCTCCATACGATTTAATTATGTATTTGGGCCTTTATTCTTAATGGTGGAGCCGCATTATTGACAGACATGCTGAGCCACCAGTTTTTTGTTTGTTTTCCGAGAAGCAGCAGCCAATGTATGTAGTTTTGTAGAGACTTTAGACCCTGTTCCGGCGTGGCTTGGACTTCTGGACATGTGTGTGTTTACTTCACTTTTGAAGGTTCATTGGACTGTGTGTAATTGAGTCTTGCGCATGTGTGCATGCGAGCATAATGTTTAAACGATGAATTGTATATATATACGGGGCAACATTTGATTGCCTTATTTCCATGCATTAAAAAAATCACGTTTTTGGCGTAGTGGTTAGCGCCGCATGCTGAGAATCAAGAAGTTCCTGGTTTGATTCTGCGCGAGGAACGCTTGCCTTTTGGTCTTTTTCTTCGCAATATTTTAATATATAATTTGCACCGTCACTTCCGTGATGGAAGTTCGTCAGCGGAGCCGTGGTGGAACCTGGCTTAAAGCACTTTTGTGTTAAAAACATGGGAGGTCGATGGGAGGTTGTTAGTTGGTGAACCGGCTGTTATTTCAATTTTTCAACATGTGATCATTTGTGTGTGTAGAAGTTAGCTTTGGTTTATTATTAATCAAACCTGAAGTCGAATAAGTGTGAACAGTTAACAACTCATCCAACCGAAATTGAACTGATCAGCCAATGGAAACGAGATCATTATTCGAAAAGGAATAAAATTCACTGCTAAAACATTCCGAACAGGTGGTTGACCAGCGAAGATGACACATGCCTCTTTGTTTACTATTGGGTTGATGCAGCCGGCTAATTGACGACTCAATTATCGATTACGTTCTCCCGAAATTCCTAATTGATGCTTGCCACTCGTGTGTTACCCTCGTAATATTGAATAGACCAGTAGTGAGTTGTGGGGCTCTCCCAATTTCGACATCTGAGGAGGACATGCCTAGCCACACAAAGCATGGCTGTATTAACGCAAGGGGGAAGGGGAGGGGTCAAGTTTGGGAGGCATCTGCAACATTAATTAACTTTCACCATTCGTGTTTTTGTTCACCGAAACTCGGTGACTCTACAACTTCAGAACAGAGTAACTTGTAGAAGAGAAGAATAGCGAAATGTAGAAGAGATTTACGAGCAAAATAAAACGTAAGAAATGAAATGAAGAATCAATAGAAATTATAACTAAGAAAACTACCGTTTCTATGTAGATGCCTGTACATATAAAACCAGTTGGCTGCTCATCTGGGTAAAACTTAGTATTCCCATTAGGATGATTCTACATAATCACACACACTCTCATTTTTCAGAAGCCAGAAACAAAGGCTCTAATCGACAAAACAAAAGTTTATATTAATAGCTCGTAAAAGCACCTCTAAACGAGTTTTTATTGCTGAAGTAAATCGGTGACAGATAAATAAGAATTGATGTATAGCTTTAAGTTTACACCAGACTGCGCACAACGGGAAAGAAGCCTGACCAGAATTGTGTTGGTAAAAATTTAACTTCGCCAGAAAGTAGCGTAACCTTGTAATGGACTGTCATCGCGTGCGACGAAATGATTTACACCAGGGGTATAAAACGCGACAATGTTCGGTTGAGCAAGTCTGAATCTAGTGTCTTAATTCCTGCCGTTTTTCTCCTCTTCTTCCTCGCTGCATTGACAGGATGGCGAGCCGGAGCGGGTGAACCCGTACTCGTTCGGCTACTCCGCGTACGACGGTCTTGGCAGCATGATGTCGCGTCACGAGACCAAAGACGAGTCGGGACGCGTGACGGGCTACTACATCGTGGAGGACGTGGACGGCCGCAAGCGGACGGTCCACTACGTGGCTGACAAAGATGGCTTCCGGGCGACAGTGCACACGAACGAGCAGGGCACCGACAACCAGGACCCGGCGAACGTCAAGATGCGCGTCGAAAACAGGATGCCACACCCTTCGCCCACTCCTCGGACTCCATCGCCAGAAAAGACGTCCCCATCGCCGACGCTAGGCGATGGTGTGGACGTTCCGGCTCTGGGCACCGTGGATCAAAGTGTGAAAAAGAGCTAATAGTTACTCGCTGTTACTTATTGCCAGTTAGAGTTCATTCAAAAGGGACGTACAACACTTTGTGGGCATGTTCGGTGAACGCTGCTGATAGATAGATGGTCGAGGCTCTTGAAAACACGCGAGCCAAATAATATATTTCAGCGAGCAGCCTGGATACTACAATTAATTCGCAACGTCAGACCGAAATCGCTCGGCATTCCCTCTATAGATGATTCCATAATTCAAAATGACAGGTGACAAATACAGAGTCAGTGACCATTGGCCGATTACAGCATCGTGAGCGGCATAGTTACCACGACCGCCGCGAGACGCCGCGACGTGCCCACGCTCAAGATCGCACTGAAGTAAGCCGCGTGTTAAGAAACAGAAGTGCTCAAGGTAATGACTCGCGCTGGCGAATGGGCGCAGCTTCTTGATCTTCTGTCATCCTTCCCCTCAGAGCTTTCAGCGTGCTCGCTGGTAGGAAAGGAGAGAGTAAGTGCTTAAAGACGTGTGACAAATCCATCTAACTCCACTTGTATTTTGTCAATTTTTAAGAATTTTGCGGCAGTCTATACGTGAGGTAATTAACTCCTCCAAAGAAGTCATTCGTAAAAGGTTGCAGGTCCCCTTTAGTGATTCCCTTGTTCTCGCCCTTGCATGAGCACGCGTGACTGACAATGCAATTTCGTAGGCGGGTGGTAGTTCTGAGCCTGCCGACGGTCAACACCACGTTTCGAAGACAAAGCGAGTGGCGTCTTTTAGGAGGCGCGCGTTCACATTATGCGAGTACGACGTGCATCCCGTTCTCAGGAAGCACAACCGAACGAGGACTGACGCGCACATCTCCTGCTCATGTCAAGCTACGTCGCTATCAACTTTCAGGTGTCTTATCGCTTGCGGTGGCAGCAGAAATGCTAAACCTCGCGTTCGTTTGTTTGTTTGTTTCCACAGACCTGTTAGAATGTTGGCGTAGACGTATGAATCTCATCGTGACGTCCAATTTACGTGAACGCGTCCTTGTCGAAAGTTATCGTGAGCGTGAATTGCACTTGCAGGAGTGTATGTGATACGCAGCTATACGTATGCTCTACGAATGTGACAATGAAGAGAGATTTGCTGGTTAGTCTTGCGAAAAGGTGAACCAGCGTGTAATTGTTACAACCAGCTGACATATTGCTCGCAAAAAAAAAAAAACAGAAGCCTGCGCACAAGGAATCTTCTACTCATGCCAGTCAAGTGTTGACAGTCAAGCGCCTGTAAAACTAGGGCTGTGCAAAATATTTACACGGGTCAAAAAATGTTACTGCTTGCTAGCAGTTTAGTGCGACGAAGCAAAACGAACAATTTTGCTCACTGCCAGTCACAAACATTATCATCAGGTGTCCCAATAGAAGTGTTCGAACCATAGTGTTTCTGTTTTAGCGCTATGAGTTTGACAAAAAAAAAAGAAGAAAAAACCTTGTGATGGCGTGGCGCCACAGCTGCATTAGAATTCTGGACACGTGTAATACGGAGGTGCGTCTCATCTTTCAAGGTGTCGAATCGCTGTTACTGCACTAGTGGAGCTACATTGTTGGGTATATATCAACAGGCTTTGCGGAGAATGAGGGCGTTGCAATGCTTTTGGCAGTCTTAGTGTCTAAGCATTTTTTGTTTCGTAATATTGTTGACGTCACTTGCGCATATCACGCTGTACAGATCAGAAAACACAAACTTGCAATAAAAATCACGCGCGTCAGCTTTTTTTTCAGGGCATTCACTTTCTACTTGGCTTACTGACTCGCCCAATCGGTGAATACGAATGATTAGCCAGGTGACTTTTTTATCCAATCACACGCCTTACGAAAATGCTGCTATGCCATTATACTGCGCTCCACAGTTTTTTTTCCTCTTTTTTCACTGATTCGAATTCAGTACACACAAGGGAGACTTAAAGATCAATGCGTGCGTGATATGCGAATATGTTAATCGCTGCATTTTTACATTCCTTATCGTATGTGTGTGCGTGTGCGTGAAAAAATTGTAACTATTTTGCGGTTGATTTTGTTGGTCACGCATTCAGACGCGGGACGAGCAGTATTAGGCGTAATGACTGCAAATGACTGCAAACGCTCCCGTAACTTCATGCCAATGTCATTCGTTCTGGCGAGCCGCACTATGCAAGTCACCGTTCGCGTTCGCCGTCTGGCTTTTTGCTCATCACTGTATTTATAGACCTGTTCAAACGGCACGTGGTTTTCATTTCTTCACTCGCTTTCAAGCTAATCTCAGAATCACATTTTTTTTTTGTCTTTACGTACGTGGCTACACATTTTTGCACTGCATCGGTAATTCTTTTGTATAGTCATTCATTAGAGGCATTCAAGGTGGTCTTATGCTGTACTGAGATGAACGAATGTAATAGTTTATTTTTATTTTGCGTTATTTAAGCCAATATTTCAGGTTCTTTTCATCACGAAACTCTGCCGTCGCCGCCACTGCGTTTTTTACAAGTTTTACATAAACGCATTCTTTCACTGAGCCACAAATAAAAACATTTTTGAACAACTGGCCTCTGTGTGACCTTTTTGAGTGCAGTGTGCGGGAACATTGCCCAGTATCCCTGCGCAGCTACATCTTGCTAATTGCGCATCCTTGTGTCTTGACAATGAAGCACACGTCTGTAAGCGGGGGTGTTGGAGGGGGATAAAGAGGGGGGTGAAGAAGGGGGAGCCGAGTGGTCCACAGGTTCGGTCTTGCGACTTGTATTAAAACGCAAGGCTGTTTATGCTTCAGGTAGATCGGCTGTTGTGTCAGAAAACTCTGTGAGTACGAGCCACAGAAAGTGCGTACGTGGCAAGCAGCTTAGCGTAGCCTAGCCTAGCGTATTTTCATGCATATTGTAGAATAGAAAGGAGGTAGGAAAAGGTGATGACGAGCAGAAGCCATTAAACGAGGAGGGAAGAGCATGAAAGATAGCATTGTATAGCACAATTATGCGCCACAGACAGTGGGTATGTACCAAGTAGCTCCTGTAGCATAGCCTAGCCTAGTTTAGTGCCACGCATATTGTAGTATAACAAGGGGGTAGGAAAGGGTGATAATAGGGAGCAGCCATAAATGAGGAAGGAAATGCGTACCGGATAGCCTTGCAGTACAATTATGCGTCAAAGGCAGTGGGTATGTATAAACAGCTCCTGTAGCACAGCAAAGCCTTCATTAGTATAGTTTAGTAAGGACATTAAAAAGGAAAGTCAGGGTCAGGACAACGTAAGGGTGAGGGGGGAAAGGATGAGGCAAAGGAGATGATAGGGTAAACCATAGCATTGCCATGTACAATATATCAAGGAGTGGGGAAGAGAAGCGATGACGCTGTGAAATTGTATCAGAGTTACGAGTAGGGAAAGGAGGAAAAAGGGCTATGATAAAGAAGGAAGAAAGAGAGAGAAAGAAACTTTATTTGCGCATAACGCGGATCATTGCAAGTGATCGGCCCTTATTCCAGGGCTCTGCTGGACCTTGCTTGCCATCATCTCTGCCCGTTGGAACGGACAAAGCTAATCGTCAAAGGTAGAGCTGGACAGCAGTGCCTCCCACTGTTTGTTCCTCGCTGTCGCTAATGTTGTGGTGTTCTTCATTGTGAAGTGTACACTCCCACCTAATGTAAAACAGAGTTTGTGTGGCCCCACAACACGGACACATATCTCTGTATGCTGGGGGGTAGAATACAGGTAGCCTGTGTTAGTTCGTGTATGTGCTTGTCTGGATTCTGTGTAACGCTGCATATTCCATTGCTGTGAGGTTTTTATGCGGAGCTGAATACAGTTCTCTAATGTCCCCGTAATGCTCAACTATTGTTGCAAAATTAGGTTCTGGGGGAAGAATTCGATTTCTTTAATTGCTAGGTAGTGGTGCCTGCACGCCAGCTCTAATGATTACTCAGGTTTGGCGGACGTGAAACTGGCTTGAATTTATTTATTTTTAAGCCGCACATCGAATTTCATATTATTCCATAAAAGTTGTGACAAGGCATAGAATAGCGTGATATACTGTATACTTCATTCGCCCCGGACCTTGGGTATTTGCAAAGTAGCTCCTAGCGTGAGGGTGGCCATGGTGGCTACTTTCCGCCGAATGGGATACTCTAGGCCTCCGTATGCACCATATGCTCCGTATATTGGCTTCATGACGGCTTTCCGACTGCTTCAGAACTTCTTTTTTTTTCTTATCATTTGCCGGTAAAATACACTGTTTTGAAGCGGTAAAATACACTGTTTTGAAGCTTTTCTGTTGTGTCACCCAATTCGCTCGGCGCCCTCCTCTCACCATTAAGATCGCGCGCATCGATACAAACCAAAGCAAGGGGGGGGGGGGGGGGGGGGGGGGGGGGGCGTCCGCAACTACGGAGCGGCGAAGTTGCGTGCACGTTGGCAAATGCGTGGCTGGCTGGGTGGTCGCACTAACCGCCACGCATGCTGATGCCACACTCCAAGCTCTAATACTGGTGCACAGCGCGTGTTCTCGCGTGAATATGAAAAAAAAAGAGATCTGAAACAAAATGAAGCCGTTACTGCACATCGAGAAGCTGGACTGGTAATATGATAATATACTATTCAATCTCGACTGTCGGCTACAGGGGAAAAGCTGCCTCAACGTTTAATATTCCGTCTGACTTGTTGGCTGGAATGTACCGAAATGGCCGTATCTCGCGAAAACTATATTCGTCCTATATAAACTCGTTTAGGATGCACGGAATTCACTGTCAGTATTATTACGTGTTGCTTGAAGACCGAGCAAGGCGGCAAAAGCAGTGCTCACATAGAATTATGTGAGCACTGATATCGTATTCCTTATACAAGGTTATTTATTATTGAACAATAAAACTGTACTCATAATAGCTGTTCTCGAATGGGCTACAACTTTGGAAATAAAATTCAATGGCGTGCCTACTTTGGCTACGTTTAGGTAGAATTACGGCTCCTTTTCATGTCAAGGCCCCTGCAACTCTCTTAATAGCATAAGTGAGAAACGTCTACGTCAGTTTTTTATGCTGAAGCTGGAGACTCGACCATGCGTAAACAGCTATAGAAAATCCATCTCGCGCGATTTCTGCGTATAGAGTCGCAACTCTGGTGAAATACATGAGATTAAATTTGGGATTTAGTTCTGGTTTGATTGATTGATATGTGGGGTTTAACGTCCCAAAACCACTGATGATTATGAGAGACGCCGTAGTGGAGGGCTCCGGAAATTTCGACCACCTGGGGTTGTTTAACGTGCACCCAAATCTGAGCACACGGGCCTACAACATTTCCGCCTCCACCGGAAATGCAGCCGCCGCAGCCGGGATTTCAGTTCTGGTTTGAATAAATTTTCCAAATGTTACAAAAGAGTGCGTATTTGCTTTGTTGCTGGTGCTGGAGCAAACATTTGGAATAATTTGATAAGCTACCCGTACATTGAAATACAGCACGCGCCGAGGGTTAGCACGGGTAAATGTTCTGAACAGCGTAACCCAGGCGGTTTAAAAAAATAATAAACGCGAAAAAGCACACCAATGTCGATATAAGGGAAATATTTCTTTTTTATCAGAAGTACTGCTTACTGGTACTATCCTTTACTACATCGAAGTTACCAGCCTCCAGGTGTAAATCTGAAAGATGTGCACATGGCAGCGACCATTACAGAAACACTAAAAGTGAGCGCACTACAAAACAAAGATGATCGAACACCAAGAATGGTAGGCAAAAATTTGTTCATGGGTGCAGGATCCAGTGTACCGTGAAAGTTAAAAATCCAAGCAGATGGAGAAAACGCCTGTCGCACTCCCCTCTACCAGTGAAGTCACTGGTTCTTTCCAAATCACCATCTGGAGGGAGAGAGGAATACTCGTTGCAGCCCCCCCCCCCCCCCCCGATATTACATATTACGTCAATGTGCGTCTCATCTTTCAAAGCGTCGAATCACCGTTACATCACTAGTGGAGCTACATTTTTGCCTATATAAACAGGCTTTGCGGAAGAGGAGGGCGTTGCAATAATTTTGGCAGCCTTAGTAGCTAAGCATCTTTTTTTGTAATATTGTTGACATCATTTGCGCATATCACGCTGTACAGATCGGAAAACTCATACTTCAAATAAATATCACGCCAGCTAACAATAAAAAAAAAACGCGTCAGCTAATAACAAGGAGGAGCGGTGGTGTGACCCTTCGGGTAG